AAAAAAAAAAAAAAAAAAAAAAAAAAAAAAAAAAAAAATCACTCAAATTAATTTACCATTTTTGTAAAAGAAGTTGATATGAGTTTGAGAATAAGCAAGTTTTTAAAAAGGAAAATATAATAAGATGAGGAATTGAAAGCAATGGGAGAGAAGGTGGCACATGGGTTGAATAATGGTAATTAGATATTATATAGGTTGAATTCCCAAAATGATAAGAACAATAAAAAGTGGGCATACCCCAACATCTCTTCTGTCATAGACATACATGCTATGCCTATGCTTTTGCTCCCACTTTCATGCCAAACCCTTCACCCACTCCACTCTTCTCACACACACATATCCACCTCATTTGGTGCGATGCTGATGAGGAATCCTGGTTGGATATATCACAAAATTTACATCTTATACCTCTTCTTAACCTTCTACTTTAACCTATTAATCTTTATCTTACTCGGAATCTTTGTTTCTATTCCCAAAAAAATAGATAAAGAATTTCATGAGAATGAAGATTGAACTAAGAGGTGAGGGCGAGGATGAGGAAGACTTTCCTATTCTTACCCAACCCTGTGGACATCTCTAAAACTAAGTAAGCATTATAGTCGACATCTCTAAAACTAAGTAAGCATTATAGTCACCGCACCTATTGACTTTTTGTTCAACCTTTTAATCAATTTGTATTTCAATAATAATTTAGAAATATTTATAGAAGATATTATGGTTTTGGAAAAGATGACACAGTTTAAAGAAGTGCAAATTACATTTATTTAGTTTAACTCCAAAAAAAAAAAAAAGTAATTTGTCTCTTCGTCGTATCAATAGATCATATTTCGTATATCAGAAAAAAGAATGATCCGTCAAGTTCAAGATTGATCTCCTCAAAAGATATTTTGTAATGTTAAATTAGTCTAAAGTCGATTGAGTATCAGGACTACAACTGGATGTAGTGGATTTGATTATCCTTTGCTTACAGAGATTTAGAGCACCACTCCAAAGCGTCATAGACGAACCTAATCATCTCACGAGATAAAATCTCTAAAATTTAGTCCGGTTCCACTTGGGATGTTCACTATGGCCTTTTGTGGTGGGTTACTATTGAGATGAAAATGGTGTCAAATCAAAGGAGGAAGAAAAGAATCTCATATATTTCTTTATTTGTTCATACACATCACAGACATGTGTGGAGGATGGAGAGTGGTCGACCATTCTCCTTTTTTGCAATAATTCTTGGCATTAGTTCGTTGAAATCTCTAAAATTTGTCAATCACTTCATGATATACATGTATGAGAATTTGTAGTGATTTTGATGGGGTTAGTGTACGTATTTGGACTAAAAAAGATGCTTTATTATGGTAAATGCCAACAAAATTTATCACACCTTTTAGTGGGAGATCAAACATTTGTTCTAAATAATAATCTCAAATTTAATTTCATATTAAACTTAATTAATGTCCTATTATAATTATCTTTTGAAGTCTACCATCGACAATAATAACAATTATTCTTGAAATAATTATTTAGGTAGTCAACCTTATACTATAAATTCATATGAGTTTATATAAGATTAAACCACAAAATAAATAATCCTATTGGAATATATTTTATATAGTTAGAATTTTTTGTTTTTCATATTTGATTAATAGTATATTTGGTATATTTTATCTTATTTTCTTAGATTTAATTTGTAGTTTGTATTCTATTTAAAGTTGTTAACATTAATGAAAATCGAACTTTCGATCTCACTTATGTTTCTCATTTTTAACATGGTATCAGAGTATCATTCTTAACCAATCATTACCTGTAAATTCGTTAACTAAGAATGCAATGTTTGTAAAGATTAAAAAATACATTTATTTTTAATGTAAAATAGATTTTTGTGCAAAAATAAGTCGTGAACCCGCCCGTGTTGAGCCCACATGATTTAAAATAGATTTTTGTGCAAAACAAGTCGTGAACCAGTGCAGGTAAAGCCCACATGATTTCTAGTCATGTCCAATAACCACTTTGACACGAATGCAATGTTTGTGCAAAAGAAGTCGTGAACCCGGTAGGGCCCACATGATTTCTAGTTATGCCTGATAACCACTTCGACACGTGCAAAATTAATTCTATTTTTAATGTAAAATAGATTTTGGGTTAGAGCCCACATGATTTATGGACGTACCACTCTTTTATTTTTGTTTTTAATGTAAAATAGATTTTGGGTTAGAGCCCACATGATTTATAGACGTACCACTCTTTTATTTTTGATGTGTGCAAAATAAGTCCTGAGCTGCAGGATTCAAACCTGCGCGGGCCCACATGATTTCTAGTCATGCCCGATAACCACTCCGCCACACCTGATAACCACTCCGCCACACATAACCACTCCGTCACACCTGATAACCACTCCGTCACACCTAATAACCACTCCGTCACGCCCACATGATTTCTAGTCGTGCCCGATAACCACTCCGTCACGCCCACATGATTTCTAGTCGTGCCCGATAACCACTCCGGCACGCCCACACGATTTCTAGTCGTGCCCGATAACCACTCCGGCACGCCCACACGATTTCTAGTCGTGCCCGATAACCACTCCGGCACGCCCACACGATTTCTAGTCGTGCCCGATAACCACTCCGGCACGCCCACACGATTTCTAGTCGTGCCCGATAACCACTCCGGCACGCCCACACGATTTCTAGTCGTGCCCGATAACCACTCCGGCACGCCCACACGATTTCTAGTCGTGCCCGATAACCACTCCGGCACGCCCACACGATTTCTAGTCGTGCCCGATAACCACTCCGGCACGCCCACACGATTTCTAGTCGTGCCCGATAACCACTCCGGCACGCCCACACGATTTCTAGTCGTGCCCGATAACCACTCCGGCACGCCCACACGATTTCTAGTCGTGCCCGATAACCACTCCGGCACGCCCACACGATTTCTAGTCGTGCCCGATAACCACTCCGGCACGCCCACACGATTTCTAGTCGTGCCCGATAACCACTCCGGCACGCCCACACGATTTCTAGTCGTGCCCGATAACCACTCCGGCACGCCCACACGATTTCTAGTCGTGCCCGATAACCACTCCGGCACGCCCACTGAATGATAAACACAATAAGCCGAAGAAGCCGAAGTTGTGAGCAGTAGAGTTCGATTTTTGTGCAAAATAAGTCATGAGCAACAGGATTCGAACCTACGCGGGCAAAGCCCACATGATTTCTAGTCATGCTTGATAACCACTCCAGCACGCCCACTGAATGAAAAACAGAACAAGTCGAAGTTATTGAGGAATAGGATTCGAGATTTCTAGTCAGGGCAGATAACCACTATTTTATTTTTAATGTAAAAAAGATTTTTGTGCAAAATAAGTCGTGAGCGGCAGGATTCAAACCAACGCGGGAAAAGCCTAAATGATTTCTAGTCATGCCTGATAACCACTCCGGCACGCCCACTAAATGAAAAATAGAATAAGTCGAAGTTGTGAGCAGTAGGATTCGAGATTTCAAGTCGTGCCCGACAACCACTATTTTTAAAATAAAAAAAATTTTGTGCAAAATAATTCGTGAGGGGCAGGATTCGAACCTGCGCAGGCATGGCCCACATGATTTCTAGTCATGCCCGTTAACCACTCCGGCATGCCCACTGAAAAGAAAACAAAATAAATCGAAGTTGTAAGTAGAAGGATTCGATATTTCTAGTTGTGCCCAATAACCACTTGTAAAAAAGACTCTTGTGCAAAATAATTCGTGAGCGGCAGGATTCAAACCTGCGCGGTCAAAACCCACATGATTTTTAGTCATGCCCGATAACAACTCCGGCACGCCCACTGAATGAAAAACAGAATAAGTCAAAGTTGTGAGAAGTAGGATTCGAACCTGCGCGGGATTTCTAGTCCTGCACGATAACCACTATTTTATTTTTAATGTAAAAAAGATTTTTGTGCAAAATAAGTTGTGAGCAGCAGGATTCGAACTTGCGCAGGCAAAGCCAACATGATACAAGTCATGCCCGATAACAACTCCCGCATGCCCACTAAATGAAAAATAGAATAAGTCGAAGTTAGCCAACATGATACTAGTCATGCCCGATAACAACTCCGGCATGCCCACTGAATGAAAAATAGAATAAGTCGAAGTTGTGAGCAGTAGGATTCGAGATTGATTTTTGTGTAAAATAACTCATGAACAAAGGATTCGAACCTACGAGGGAATTGATTTTTGTGCAAAATAAGTCATGAACACAGGATTCGAACCTACGAGGGAAAAGTCCGCATGATTTCTAGTCATGCCCGATAACCACTCCGACACGCCCACTGAACAAAAAACACAATAAGTCGAAGTTTTGAGTAGTAGGATTCGATATTTCAAGTTTGCCCGATAACCACTTGTAAAAAAAGGTTTTTGTGCAAAAATAAATTGTGAGCAGCAGGATTTAAACCTGCGCGGGCAAAGCCCACATGATTTCTAGTTATGCCCGATAACCACTCCAGCACGCCCACCTAATACAAAACAGAATAAGTGGAAGTTGTGAGCAGTAGGATTCGAGATTTCCAGTCGCGCCCAATAACCACTATTTTATTTTTAATGTAAAAAAGATTTTTGTGCAAAATAAGTCGTGAGCGAAAGGATTCGAACCTGCACGGGCAAAGCCCACATGATTTCTAGTCATGCGCGATAACTACTCCGGCACGCCCACTGAATGAAAAATAGAATAAGTGAAACTTGTGAGCAATAGGATTCGAACCTACGAGGGAAAAGCCACATGATTTCTAGTCATGCCCGATAACCACTCCGGCACGCCAACTAAACAAAAAACACAATAAGTCAAAGTTTTGAGATGTAGGATTCGATATATCTAGTTGTGCCCGATAACCACTTGTAAAAAAGGTTTTTGTGCAAATATCGTGAGTGGCAAGATTCGAACCTGCGCGGGCAAAGCCCACATGATTTCTAGTCATGCCCGATAACAACTCCGGCACGCCCACGAAATAAAAAATAGAATAAGTCTAATTTGTGAGCAGTAGGATTCGAACCTACACGGGCAAAGCCCACATGATTTCTAGTCATGCCCGATAACCACTTCGGCACGCCCACTGAATGAAAAATGGAACAAGCTGAAGTTGTGAGCAGTAGGATTCGAGATTTCTAGTCCGATAACCACTATTTTTTTTTTAATGTAAAATAGATTTTTGTGCACAATAAGTCATGAGCGGCAGGATCCAAACCTGCGCGGACAAAGCCCACATGATTTCTAGTCATGCGCGATAACCACATGAGCGGCAGGATCCAAACCTGCGCGGACAAAGCCCACATGATTTCTAGTCATGCGCGATAACCACTCCAGCACACCCACTGAATGAAAAATAGAATAAGTCGAAGTTGTGAGCAATAGGATTCGAGATTGATTTTTATGCAACCACTGAATGAAAAATAGAATAAGTCGAAGTTGTGAGCAATAGGATTCGAGATTGATTTTTATGCAAAATCTGAATGAAAAATAGAATAAGTCGAAGTTGTGAGCAATAGGATTCGAGATTGATTTTTATGCAAAATAAGTCATGAACACAGGATTCGAACCTACGAGGGAAAAGCCGCATGATTTCTAGTTATGCCTGATAACCACTCCAGCACGCCCACTGAACAAAAGACACAATAAGTCGATGTTTTGAGTAGTACGATTCGATATTTCTAGTTGTGCTCGATCACCACTTGTAAAAAGGTTTTTGTGCAAAAATAAGTCGTGAGCGGCAGGTTTCGGACCTGCGCGGGCAAAGCCCACATGATTTCTAGTCACGCCCGATAACCACTCCGGCACACCCACTAAATGAAAAATAGAATAAGCCGAAGTTGTGAGCAGTAGGATTCGAGATTTCTAGTCCGATAACCACTATTTTATTTTTAATGTAAAATAGATTTTTGTGCACAATAAGTCATGAGCGGTAGGATCCAAACCTGCGCGGAAAAAGCCCACATGATTTCTAGTCATGCGCGATAACCACTCCAGCACACCCACTGAATGAAAAATAGAATAAGTCGAAGTTGTGAGCAATAGGATTCGAACCTATGAGGGAAAAACCGCATGATTTCTAGTTATGCCCGATAACCACACCGGCACGCCCACTGAACAAAAGACACAATAAGTCGAAATAGTACGATTCGATATTTCTAGTTGTGCCCGATCACCACTTGTAAAAAAGGTTTTTGTGCAAAAATAAGTCGTGAGCGGCAGGATTCGAACCTGTGCAGGCAAAGCCCACATGATTTCTAGTCATGCCCGATAACCACTCCGGCACGCCCACTGAATAAAAAATAGAATAAGTTGTAGTTGTGAGCAGTAGGATTCGAGATTTCTAGTCATGTCCGATAACCAATATTTTATTTTTAATGTAAAATAGATTTTTGTGCAAAATAAGTCATGAGCGGCAGGATTCAAACCTGCGCAGACAAAGCCCACATGATTTCTAGTCATGCGCGATAACCACTCTAGCACAACCACTGAATGAAAAATAGAATAAGTCGAAGTTGTGAGCAATAGGATTCGAGATTGATTTTTATGCAAAATAAGTCATGAACACAGGATTCGAACCTACGAGGGAAAAGCCGCATGATTTCTAGTTATGCCCGATAACCACTCCGGCACGCCCACTGAACAAAAGACACAATAAGTCGAAGTTTTGAGTAGTACGATTCGATATTTCTAGTTGTGCCTGATCACCACTTGTAAAAAAGGTTTTTGTGCAAAAATAAGTCGTGAGCGGCAGGATTCGAACCTGCGCGGGCAAAGCCCACATGATTTCTAGTCACGCCCGATAACCACTCCGGCACGCCCACTAAATGAAAAATAGAATAAGCCGAAGTTGTGAGCAGTAGGATTCGAGATTTCTAGTCCGATAACCACTATTTTATTTTTAATGTAAAATAGATTTTTGTGCACAATAAGTCATGAGCGGCAGGATCCAAACCTGCGCGGACAAAGCCCACATGATTTCTAGTCATGCGCGATAACCACTCCAGCACACCCACTGAATGAAAAATAGAATAAGTCGAAGTTGTGAGCAATAGGATTCGAGATTGATTTTTATGCAAAATAAGTCATGAACACAGGATTCGAACCTACGAGGGAAAAGCCGCATGATTTCTAGTTATGCCCGATAACCACACCGGCACGCCCACTGAACCAAAGACACAATAAGTCGAAGTTTTGAGTAGTACGATTCGATATTTCTAGTTGTGCCTGATCACCACTTGTAAAAAAGGTTTTTGTGCAAAAATAAGTCGTGAGCGGCAGGATTCGAACCTGCGCGGGCAAAGCCCACATGATTTCTAGTCACGCCCGATAACCACTCCGGCACGCCCACTAAATGAAAAATAGAATAAGCCGAAGTTGTGAGCAGTAGGATTCGAGATTTCTAGTCCGATAACCACTATTTTATTTTTAATGTAAAATAGATTTTTGTGCACAATAAGTCATGAGCGGCAGGATCCAAACCTGCGCGGACAAAGCCCACATGATTTCTAGTCATGCTCGATAACCACTCCAGCACACCCACTGAATGAAAAATAGAATAAGTCGAAGTTGTGAGCAATAGGGTTCGAGATTGATTTTTATGCAAAATAAGTCATGAACACAGGATTCGAACCTACGAGGGAAAAGCCGCATGATTTCTAGTTATGCCCGATAACCACTCCGGCACGCCCACTGAACAAAAGACACAATAAGTCGAAGTTTTGAGTAGTACGATTCGATATTTCTAGTTGTGCCTGATCACCACTTGTAAAAAAGGTTTTTGTGCAAAAATAAGTCGTGAGCGGCAGGATTCGAACCTGCGCGGGCAAAGCCCACATGATTTCTAGTCACGCCCGATAACCACTCCGGCACGCCCACTAAATGAAAAATAGAATAAGCCGAAGTTGTGAGCAGTAGGATTCGAGATTTCTAGTCCGATAACCACTATTTTATTTTTAATGTAAAATAGATTTTTGTGCACAATAAGTCATGAGCGGCAGGATCCAAACCTGCGCGGACAAAGCCCACATGATTTCTAGTCATGCTCGATAACCACTCCAGCACACCCACTGAATGAAAAATAGAATAAGTCGAAGTTGTGAGCAATAGGGTTCGAGATTGATTTTTATGCAAAATAAGTCATGAACACAGGATTCGAACCTACGAGGGAAAAGCCGCATGATTTCTAGTTATGCCCGATAACCACACCGGCACGCCCACTGAACCAAAGAAACAATAAGTCGAAGTTTTGAGTAGTACGATTCGATATTTCTAGTTGTGCCCGATCACCACTTGTAAAAAAGGTTTTTGTGCAAAAATAAGTCGTGAGGCAAGATTCAAACCTGCGCGGGCAAAGCCCACATGATTTCTAGTCATGCCCGATAACCACTCCGGCACGCCCACTGAATGAAAAATAGAATAAGCCTAAGTTGTGAGCAGTAGGATTCGAGATTTCTAGTCCGATAACCACTATTTTATTTTTAATGTAAAATAGATTTTTGTGCACAATAAGTCATGAGCGGCAGGATTCAAACCTACGCGGACAAAGCCCACATGATTTCTAGTCATGCTAGATAACCACTCCCGCAAGCCCAATGAACGAAAAACAGAATAAGTCGAAGTTGTGAGCCTGCACAGGCAAAGGCCACATGAATTCTAGTCATGCCTGATAGCCACTCTGGCACGCCAACTGAATGAAAAACAGAATAAGTCAAAGTTGTGAGTAGTAGGATTCGAGATTTCTAATCGTTCCCGACAACCAATATTTTATTTTTAATGTAAAAAAGATTTTTGTGCAAAATAGAGTCGTGAGGAGTAGGATTCGAGATTTCTAGTCATGTCTAATAACTACTATTTTAATGAAAAATCTCAATAAAAACAGATTAAGTTGAAGTTGTGAGCAGTAGATTCGAGATTTCTAGTCGTGCCCTAAAGAAGATTTTTGTGCAAAATAAGTAGTGTAAGTCGTGAGCAGCAAGATTCGAATCTGCATGGGCAAGGCCCACATGATTTCTAGTCATGCTCGATAACCACTCCGGTACACCCACTAAATGAAAAATAGAATAAGTTGAAGTTGTGAGCAATAGGATTCGAGATTGATTTTTGTGCAAAATAAGACATGAACACAGGATTCGAACCTACGAGGGAAAAGCCGCATGATTTCTAGTCATGTTCAATAACCACTCCGGCACGCCAACTAAACAAAAAACACAATAAGTCGAAGTTTTGAGAAGTAGGATTCGATATTTCTAGTTGTGCCCGATAACCACTTGTAAAAAAGTTTTTGTGCAAAAATAAGTAGTGAGCGTTAGGATTCGAACCTACGCAGGCAAAGCCCACATGATTTTTATCCATGCCCGATAACCACTCCGGCACGCCCACTGAATAAAAAGTAGAATAAGTCGAAGTTGTGAGCAGTAGGATTCGAGATTTCAAGTCATGCCTGATAACAACTATTTTATTTTTAATGTAAAAACGATTTTCGTGCAAAATAAGTTGTGAGTGGCAGGATTCGAACTTGCATGGGCAAAGCCCACATGATTTCTAGTCATACGCGATAACCACTCCGGCACACCCACTGAATGAAAAATAGAATAAGTTGAAGTTGTGAGCAATAGGATTCGAGATTGATTTTTATGCAAAATAAGTCATGAACACAGGATTCGAACCTACGAGGGAAAAGCCACATGATTTCTAGTTATGCCCGATAACCACTCCAACACGCCCACTGAACAAAAAACACAATAAGTCAAAGTTTTGAGTAGTACGATTCGATATTTCTAGTTGCAAAAATAAGTCGTGAGCAGCAGGATTCGAATCTGCACGGGCAAAGTCCACATGATTTCTAGTCATGCCCAATAACCACTCCGGCACGCCCATTGAATGAAAAATAGAATAAGCCAAAGTTGTGAGTAGTAGGATTCGAGATTTCTAGTCCGATAACCACTATTTTATTTTTAAAGTAAAATAGATTTTTGTGCACAATAAGTCATGAGCGGCAGGATTCAAACCTGCGCGAACAAAGCCCACATGATTTCTAGTCAGTCCAGATAACCACTCCCGCACGCCCAATGAACGAAAAACAGAATAAGTCGAAGTTGTGAGCCTACACAGGCAAAGCCCACATGAATTCTTGTCATGCCCGATAACCACTCCGGCACGCCAACTGAATGAAAAACAGAATAAGTCAAAGTTGTGAGCAGTAGGATTCGAGATTTCTAGTCGTTCCCGATAACCAATAAAAGATTTTTGTGCAAAATAAAGTTGTGAGCAACAGGATTCGAACCTGCGCCGGCAAAGCCCACATGATTTCTAGTCATGCCCAATAACCACTCCGGCATGCCCACTGAATAAAAAACAAAATAAGTCGAAGTTATGAGTAGTAGGATTCGAGATTTCTAGTCATGTCCGATAACCACTATTATATTTTTAATGAAAAATAAATAGGTTCGAGATTTCTAGTCGTGCCCAATAACCACTATTTTATTTTTAATGTAAAAATGATTTTTGTGCAAAGTCGATTTCTAGTCGTGCCCAATAACCACTATTTTATTTTTAATGTAAAAATGATTTTTGTGCAAAGTCGTGAGCGGCAAGATTCGAACCTGCATGAGCAAAGCCCACATGATTTCTAGTCATGCGCGATAACCACTCCAGCACACCCACTAAATGAAAAATAGAATAAGTCGAAGTTGTGAACAATAGGATTCGAGATTGATTTTTGTGCAAATAAGTCATGAACACAAGATTCGAACCTACGAGGGAAAAGCCGCATGATTTCTAGTCATGCCTGATAACCACTCCGGCACGCCAACTAAACAAAAAAGACAATAAGTCGAGAGCTGCAGGATTCGAACCTGCACGGGCAAAGCCCACATGATTTCTAGTCATGCCCGTTAACCACTCCGGCACGCCCACTGAATAAAAAATAGAATAAGTCGTAGTTGTGAGCAGTAGGATTCGAGATTTCTAGTCATGTCCGATAACCACTATTTTATTTTTAATGTAAAAAAGATTTTTGTGCAAAATAAGTCATGAGCGGCAAGATTCGAACCTCCATAGGCAAAGCCCACATGATTTCTAGTCATGCGCGATAACCACTCCAACACACCCACTAAATGAAAAATAGAATAAGTCGAAGTTGTGAACAGTAGGATTCGAGATTTATTTTTGTGCAAATAAGTCATGAACACAGGATTCGAACCTACGGAAAAGCCGCATGATTTCTAGTCATGTCTGATAACCACTAGTAAAAAAGGTTTTTGTGCAAAAAGCAATCATCAGCGGCAGGATTCGAACCTGCGCAGGCAAAGCCCACATGATTTCTAGTCATGCCCAATAACCACTCCGGCACGCCCACTGAATAAAAAATAGAATAAGTCGTAGTTGTGAGCAGTAGGATTCGAGATTTCTAGTCATGTCCGATAACCAATATTTTATTTTTAATGAAAAATCTCCCTGAATAAAAAACATATTAAATCGAAGTTGTGAGCAGTAGATAAGTCGTGAGTAGCAGGATTCGAACTTGCATGGGAAAAAACCACATGATTTCTAAATAACCACTCCGGCACACCCACTGAATGAAAAATAGAATAAGTCGAAGTTGTGAGCAATAGGATTCGAGATTGATTTTTATGCAAAATAAGTCATGAACACAGGATTCGAACCTACAAGGGAAAAACCGCATGATTTCTAGTCATGCCCGATAACCACTCCAGCATGCCCAATGAACAAAAAACACAATAAGTCGAAGTTATTTCTAGTTGTGCCCGATCACCACTTGTAAAAATGGTTTTTGTGCAAAAATAAGTCGTGAGCAACAGGATTCAAACCTGCGGGGGCAAAGCCCACATGATTTCTAGTCATGCCCGATAACCACTCCGGCACGCCCACTGAATAAAAAGTAGAATAAGTCGAAGTTGTGAGCAGTAGGATTCGAGATTGATTTTTTGTGCAAAATAAGTCATGAACACAGGATTCAAACCTACGAGAAAAGCCCACATGATTTCTAGTCATGCCCGATAACCACTTGTAAAAAAGGTTTTTGTGCAAAAATAAGTCGTGAGCGGGAGGATTCGAACCTGCACAGGCAAATGCTCGATAACCACTCCGGCACGACCACTGAATGAAAATTTGAATAAGTCGAAATTGTGAGCAGTAGGATTCGAGATTTTTAGTCGTGTCCGATAACCACGATTTTGTATTTAATGTAAAAAATATTTTTGTGCAAAATATAAGTCATGAGCAACAGGATTTGAACCTGCGCGGGCGAAGCCCACAATATTTCTAGTCATGCCCGATAACCACTTGGCACACCCACTGAATGAAAAACAAAATAAGTCAATGTTGTCAGCAATAGAATTCGAGATTTCTAGTCGTGCCCGATAACAACTATTTTATTTTTAATGTAAAAAAGATTTTTGTGCAAAATAAGTCATGAGCGGGAGGATTCAAACCTGTGCAATTTCTAGTCATGCCCGTTAACCACTCTGGCACGCCCACTTAATGAAAAACACTCTAAGTCGAAGTTATGAGCAGTGGATTCAAGATTTCTAGTTGTGCACGATTACCACTATTTTATTTTTAAGGTAAAAAATATTTTTGTGTGAAATAAGTCGTGAGCGGCTGGATTCGTACCTATGCGGGCAAAGGCCACATGATTTCTAGTCATGCACAATAAGTCGAAGTTGTGAGTAGTAGGATTCGATATTTCTAGTTGTACCCGATAACTACTTGTTAAAAAGGTTTTTGTGCAAAATAAGTCGTGAGCAACAGAATTCGAACCTGCGCGGGGAAAGCCCACTGAATAAAAAACACTCTAAGTCGAAGTTATGAGCAGTAGGATTCGAGATTTCTAGTCGTGAGCAACAGAATTCGAACCTGCGCGGGGAAAGCCCACTGAATGAAAAACACTCTAAGTCGAAGTTATGAGCTGTAGGATTCGAGATTTCTAGTCGTGTCCGATAACCACTATTTTTAATGTAAAAAAGATTTTTGTGCAAAATAAGTCATGAGCGGCTGGATTCGAACTGATGCAGGCGAAGCCCACATGATTTCTAGTCATGTCCATTAACCACTCCGGCACACCTACTGAATGCAAAACATAATAAGTCGAAGTTGTGAGCAGTAGGATTCGAGATTGAATCAATGCCCATTAACGACTCCGGCACGCCCAGAACAAGTCGAAGTTGTGAGCAGTAGCATTCAAGATTTCTAGTCCAATAACCACTATTTTATTTTTAATGTAAAAAAAATTTCGAACCTGTGGGCAAAGCCCACATGATTTCTAGTCATGCCCATTAGCCACTCCGGCACGCCCATGAATAAAAAAAATGAATAAGTCGAAGTGTGAGCAGTAGGATTCAAGATTTCTAGTCCGATAACCACTATTTTATTTTTAATGTAAAAAAGATTTTTGTGCAAAATAAGTCATGCCCGTTAGCCACTCCGGCACGCCCACTGAATAAAAAAAATGAATAAGTCGAAGTGTGAGTAGTAGGATTCAAGATTTGCCCACTGAATAAAAGCAAAATAAGTCATGCCCGTTAGCCACTATTTTAATGTAAAATAGATTAATCGTGAACAGCAGAATTCGAACTTGCACAGGCAAAGCCCACATGATTCCTAATCATGCCCAATAACCACTCCGGCACACCCATTGAATAGAAAACACAATAAGTTGAATTTGTGAGTAGTAGGATTCAATATTTCTAGTTGTGCCTTGTAAAAAAGGTTTTTGTGCAAAATAAGTCGTGAGCAGCAAGATTCGAACCTACGCAGGCTATAAGCCCACATGATTTCTAGTCATGCCCGATAACCACTCCGGCATGCCCACTGAATGAAAAAAAGAATAAGTCGAAGTTGTGAGCAGTATGAATCAAGATTTCTAGTCCAATTACCACTATTTTATTTTTAATTTAAAAAAGATTTTTGTACAAAATAAATCAAGAGCAACAGGATTTGAACCTACGCAGGTGAATCTCACGTGATTTTTAATCATGCCCAATAACCACTCTGGCACGTCCACTGAATGAAAAACATTATAAGTCGAAGTCATGAGAAGTAGGATTCGAGATTTCTAGTCGTGCCCAATAACCACTATTTTATTTTTAATGTAAAATAGATTTTTGTGCAAAATAAGTTTCCTCGAGATTTCTAGTCATGCGGATAACCATTCTATCATGCCCACTAAATGAAATGGTACGCCCACTGAATGAAAAACATTATAAGTCGAAGTCTTGAGAAGTAGGATTCGAGATTTCTAGTCGTGCCCGATAACCACTATAAAGTTTTGTGCATAATAAGTCTTAGGAAGTAGGATTCGAGATGAGCAAAGTCAGTCATGGTTCAAGCTGCGCGGGCAATGCCCATTTGATTTTTAGTGGGCCCGATAACCACTCCGACACGCCCACTGAATGAAAAACACTATAAGTCGAAGTCATGAGAAGTAGGATTTGAGATTTCTAGTCCTACCCGATAACCACTATTTTATTTCCAATGTAAAATAGGTTTATGTGCAAAATAAGTGCCCATATGATTTCTAGTCATGTCCGAAAACCACTTCGACATGCCCACTAAATGAAAAGTACAATAAGTTGAAGTCGTGAACTGTAGGATTCGAGATTTTTAGTCATGCCTGATAATCATTCGGTCATGCTCACTAAACTAAAAAAAGCTAAAAAATAATTTAATAATTAATATAAAATAGTTTTTTTGTGCAAAAGAAATCGTGAGCAGTAGGATTCGAGATTTCTAGTCAGGCGGGATAACCATTCTATCACACCCACTAAAGGAAAAAAAACAAAAAGGTAAAATCGTGAGCCATTCAAAATTTAAGTCATGCCCGATCACCACAATGGCAAGCCCTCTTAATTAAAAATAATAATAAAATAATTTTATTTTTAATGTAAAATAGATTTTTTTTTTTTTTTTTTTTTGCAAAACACCAGCAAAGCCCACATGATTTCTAGTCATGCCCGATAACTTAGGATTCGAGATTTCTAATCATGCTCGATAACCACTTCGGCACACCCACTGTATGAAAATCACAATAAGTCGAAGTATTGAACAGTAGGATTCGAGATTTCTAGTCATGCCCGATAACCATTCCATCACGCTCATTGAATTAAAAGAACAATTTCAAGTCATGAGCGGCCACTTCGGCACACCAACGGTATGAAAATCACAATAAGTCGAAGTATTGAACAGCAGGATTCGAGATTTCTAGTCATGCCCGATAACCATTCCATCATGCTCACTGAACTAAAGAATAATTTGAAGCCATGAGCGGCAGAATTCGAAACTTCTTGTAATGCTCGATAACCACTCCGACTGAACGAAAAGAAGATAAAAAATTAATTTTATATTCAATGTAAAATAGATTTTTGTGCAAAATAAGTCATGAATAGTAGGATTCAAACCTAGACAAGCAAAGCCCACATGATTTCTACATGAAATTTCTAGTCATGCTCGATAACCACTCTGACACGCCTACTGATTTCTACATGAAATTTTTAGTCATGCTCGATAACCACTCTGACACGCCCACTAAATGAAAAGCACAATAAGTCGAAGTCGTGAGCACTAGGATTCGAGATTTCTAGTCATGCCCGATAACCATTCCGTCACCCTCACTAAATGAAAAGAAGCTAAAAAAATAATTTTATTTTTAATGTAAAATAGATTTTTGTGCAAAAGAAGTCATGAGCAGCAGGATTCAAACCTGCACGGGCAAAGTCCACATGATTATAAGTCAAGCTCGTAACCACTCCGCCACACCCACTAAATGAAAAGAAGCGTAAAAAAATAATTTTATTTTTAATGTAAAATAGATTTTTGTGCAAAAGAAGTCGTGAGCGGCATGATTCAAACCTGCACAGAAAAATCCCACATGATTTCTAGTCATGCCCGATAACCACTCCGCCACACCCACTCAATGAAAAGCACAACAGATTGAAGTCATGAGTAGTGATGATGTATGAATTGTATCGTATGATGTCGTATACTAATATATGATGATGAATGAGTTATAATGATTTATGAGTTATGATGCATGATGATGTGCGTAATATATATATTTCAATGTATGACGTACTCGATATGCTTGATGCACTTTATGGCGATATGATGAGTATGATGATTGCATGTTGTTTATCTTAATATATTGATATTTTCCATAGTAAGCATGTTATATGATGATGAATGTCATATTGTGATATGGAATCAACCCAAGGAAAAGTATGAAATGGATTACCTTGATGATCAAGATCAAGAGTAAAGAAAACTCGTTTCTAAACTCGTGATTCGAATCACTCCACAAAAGGTTTAATCACTACCACTTGAATAACTCTAGCATATAAGTTCTAAACATAAGAATTTGCAAAGAAGATCTTAGCTCTCAACAAAACTAAAAAAAAATAGAAATTCTATTCCTTTATAATTAAAAAATGTGATGTCCCTAATCAAAGAAAAGGAGGCTTATATAGCCTTTAGAACGTTAACCTATATGACACATAACTTTCAAATTAAATTTGCTAGTAAATGAAAAATATTCATAACCTCCATATTAAAATGGCTCGTTAATGATGAAATATGGTAACCTATGTAGGTTTCAATATAACCTTAACCCTTTGTATAAAAAACAAACAAATATTTAAATTATAATTAAATAGTGCAATGAATGAAATGTGTTTATTTGTCATCTTTGGACTAGTTCTGTACATTTTAGTTGAGTTCATTAAATGCAACTTAAATACATAATGGAGATCTCCAACGTCTTCCAGAATTTCCTTTGATGAGCTCACCATATTTTGAATATAAGTGTACAAGGTTTATTGTAGCTTCTTGGCTCTCGTCCTTGTAGTTGGACCTTGAGGTATGGAAATTCCTTGGTCGTGGTTCATATCATATTGCATCATATCGATAGACCGACATAGGACACAACCCTAAGAGCATGAAAATGATATTAATATAAATATCCAACGAGCATGTGTTACTTGCTGTAACAAAGAGATGAGACTAGAGGGTTATGTCAGAAGAGGTGTTAAGATGGGAATTAGAGGGATCTCATGCGTTTTGTATGTTCATAAGTATAGGGATACTTCCCCTAGAGATGATGAGTGCGGACACGCACAATATGATGATGAGAGTGTTCATGGGGAGCATGACACCAGGGGTTCTACTGACCTACGGACGTTGCTCCAGAGTAGCTTGACTAGAGAGTGTCTAGGGGGTGTGCGAGTCTCCTGGGGATTCACACTGACACATGTGGGTTGTGTGTAGGGAAGTACTACACATCCATAATAGTCCGAGACTGGAGGCCACCCCTAAATGAGATAAAGATAGGTCCCAAGAGCATGATTGCATATGTTTGCATTCGTATGGCCCCTATAGTGGGGTCACTCACTGAGTATTCTTCGAAATACTCAGGTTGTGTGTCACATCATTTTTTCAGGTAAAGACAAGGCGCACATGTATGGATGACGGCGGCATCGCGAGCAAAGACTGTGGCACGTGTATAAGGTAGACTCATATTTAAATTCGTCTTATATTAGAATAAGTTATTTTGCATTTCATCAATTTAAATTATTTTGTATTTATTTTTATTTTCTCTAAATATCACTATTTCGTATTTAAACACATAAGACCATGATTGTATTTTCAAGAGATAGAAGATGTTTTAAATGTTTTCAACATTTATACTACAGATGATGTTTTCTTTTAAGATTTAGATTCCGTATTTTAGCAGAGCATGAGACGTTAATAACGACCCTGGCTAACTAGAAATTTAAGGTCGTTACATCTAGTATTTTGGAGACTTGACCAAATAGGGAGTTGGAAACATAATCATACGAGATGAAATTCTATAACGACCTATTTTTCAAGAGATTCAAGCCGACAGTCACTAACTGACATGGAATTTTAAAAATACTAAGTAATTTAAAATTTCTAAAAGCATGCACACATTTGGTAAACCTCGATTCAAATAGGTCATTCAATTAAATTAAACAAGTGTATGAAAGACTCCAGCCATATATCATACATAAAATATGAGCAGATGAATAAATCAAAAACTACATCTGAATAAGAGTAATTTTGAGAATATGAAACCAACGAGGTATTATTTTTCTCTTTCTTTTCTTAAAATATTAAATATTAAAATTTTGATTTATATTATTTGAATTAAATTAGAGTTTCCGCTAAAAAAAATAAATAAATAATTTTTTGATTTAATAAAATTTTTATAATTTGTATTAATACTAATTTTATCAATTTCAACATTTAAATGCATACCGACTAAATTCTAAAATTTTCATATTAAACGTCGTCGTTTAATTGTCTATTCTCGGACTTCAAAATATAAACGCGTTAACACTTGTGGAAAATTAGGCCAATTTCCATTTAATTTATAAGATAAATGGTCCTTCCATACCCAATAAATAAAAATATTGCCAATTTTAAATACAATCTATTTCCAATAAAATTCCTTTCACTTTCCTTGAAATTTTGCAAAAGTAGAGTGGGGTTTGTTTATCCAAAATTTAATGGACCAAATATAGCTTATATAAATCCACAAAACTCAAAATGTTCTTTTTTTTTTTTTTTAATTAAATTTTAAAAAGTTTATTTTAAAATTTCATTTTTTATATCATTATCCATATATTCATTTACTATACATTGGTGAAATCCTGTGGATCGAGAACATATTTTGAAAGTGTAATTATTTTTGTAAAATTGTTTAATAATAAATTATTTTAAATTTTGTAAGTTAAATGATTGTGGGGTTAAAAACTAATTTCCTGATCTCATAATGTCAATTATTCCTAAAATTCCTCT